TTCGGGACTTAGAAATGATGCCTGCAGGAATACCCCCACACTCCTGGCCGCCACCCCACGAACACATACAAAAATTGGAAGTGATTTAACCCTTGTGCTGCAGTCGATGCAGCAGATGCAGGCTTGTTCCCTGATTTTTGAATGCCCAGTTGTTAACGTGTGAATGACACAATTATCTATCCATCCATTTTCCGACACGCTTATCCTCACAAGAGTCGCGGGGGGTGTTGGAGCCTAACCCAGCCGTCTTCGGGCAGTAGACGGGGGATACCCTGAACTGGTTGCCAGCCGATCGCAGGGAACACAAAGATGAACAACCATCCACGCTCACACTCACACCTAGGGACAATTTGGAGTGTTTAATCAGCTTGCCATGCATGTTTTTGTAATGTGGGAGCAAACGGGAGGACCCGGAGAAAACCCACGCAAGCACGGGGAGAACATGCAAACTCCACACAGGGAGGCCAAAGCTGGAATTGAACCCGGTACCTCTGCACTGTGAGGTAACCAGTTGTCTACCGGCCACAATTTGAATTTACCACACTGAAAATGTTTCCAGACCCACAAAATACAGTTACGCACACTGTGAATTTAAGAAATTAAAATTGCTCATTGTATAAGAAAGGATACCAAAAGGTTGTTCATTATGAAGTGAAATGTATCAAGTAAAGATACAGTTTCTTCAAATAATACACAATTATTTTTTTGAATTTCTTTTGAAACTCGTATATTGAAATATTCAGTAAGTGCAGCCCTACTTTCAAACTCCCTACTCGATTGTGTTTTGTTTTTTGTTTTTTTTTTTAGAAAAGCCCTGCTTCAGTTGGGTAGACAGATTCCTGTTTGCTGTCTGGTCAAAAGACAGTTAGCGTGTGCCCTCTCGTGGACAAAAAGTCCAACTGTCCAAATACAGGTATAGTGGCTTTCATTCACCGAGGTAGTTGCAACAAAATGTAAAATTTATGAATGGTCTGGACTTTATTTGAGGGAGGTTAACTTTGAGTCGTCGTTATCATTGCATCCTACTCTCCTTACCTGAAACGCTTATCTTGCTGAACGGTGACCAATTATTTTCGAATGCAGGGAATGTTCGTTCACAAGAGGGTTCAGTCATGGTCGTGTAAATTGAGGGGATCGTTGTTTTTAGTGGATAGCTCTATTTTACGAATGACAAAAGGAGAGATGGAATCCTTTAACGCAGTTTATTAAAAGTGGGGAAAAAAACGTCTGCACCTCGGAACGGATGAACGAGAACACACCCCCTTTCAGACTACACTTCCTGCTTTTCTTCGCCAATCAGATGTAAGCAAAATAAGAATATTTCAGAAAGTATTAAACAGAATATAATTTGGGTAACTGTAACATAAAAGAATATAGTGCTCCAATATAAAATGATAATAATTAACAATTTAACAAAAGCTTACAGTCGTAAATTTTTGCAAAATGTTCGACAACAATTTTGGCGATTTTTCTTGTTGCAAGGAAACTTTGAAAATCTTCAAAATGTTCGCAACCATTAAAACTGTTTGGGAATGTCCAGCAAACGTATTTGCAACTGTTAATAACAGTTTGCCACATGCAATGAACAGTGACAAAAAAAAAACATTTGCTCCTTGCACAATCTTTGACAAAATCATCCATCAATAGTTCAAGGAGTGAATAAAGGTGCTTCCATTCTAACATATTTTCTCTTGCCCCCAGTTTTATCCCTCAAACGTGTTTATGCATTTTAAAGTATTTTGTGTTTAGAGCTGTCCCCCCCCCCCTGTATTATTGATGTAGTTTTGTTTATTTTCTCCTGTTCTCGGGGATTACATTTGGTGTGATGGCTCTGGGCATCCAACCCCCGGGGAGGTAGAGCATCTACATCATCACCTTGCCAAGCTGCCAAGTCATGGGCAGTGAAACTCAGTGTGAGGTAAAGGAACATGCACCTCTCAGGGAGGGGAGGGAGTTGACATGTTTCAGGGTTCAAAGGCATTACAGACATGCAAGGATTAAAGCGTTTCACTTGTTGCCTGCTGTGTGAATCTTCAGTTTTGTCGTGGAGATAAAGTGACATTCACACGTCTCCACGATGCCACAATTTTAGTCAGTTACATTGTTTAATCCTGATACATTATTTCCATTTTTTAAAAATAAAAGTAAAAATAAATACATTTCACTGCACCCTATCCTTGTCTGTCTCCCAGCACTTGGGTGCACCAAGTCTTTGCCGAGGTTCGGCCTCCACTTCAATCACAAAACAAGGCAAATGGTCAGTTTGCACTAGTTTACATTATTCTCTTTGTCCCTGCGTTTTCTCGGGTACTCCGGGACAACTAGTTCAGGGTATACCCCACCGAATGCCCAAAGACAGTTGCGGTAGGCTGCAGCGTACCCGCGACACTCATCAAGATAAGGATGATGGATGGAGTCTCTGATGGCTTCGTAGTACACATGCCCGACTTGTGTGCGGGTGGCGTGGGATTGGTTCCCACTCAGTGATGGTGAGACTGCGTGTGTGAATGGTCATTTGTGTCTATATATGCCCACTGACTGGCGACCAGTTCAGAGTGTGGTCTGCCATCCGCCCGAAGTCAGCTGGGATAAGTTCCATCAACTCTCTACGACCCTGTACAGGATGGATAATGGATGAATTGATAATTTCTTGAGGTCATATACATTTTTTTAAGGTTGATGCTGCTGACTTCTCCAGTCTCAAATGCATTGTGTCACCAAAAAAGGATGATGTACCCGAGCAATCCTGATTGGATGCTCACTAAGTGTCTGCCTAGAGCTTTTTCAAAAATGTTTGAAAATGGAAAAAGATGGGAGGCAAATATATATATATATATATTTGTAATGTGGTTTCTGTCAGAGGACAAACATGATACAAACATTAATAACGTTTTCCGATGCTGTAAAAATGTGTCGAATAAATATTAAATGTCAACATTTCGTCAACGAATACAGTATTGCGTCATAGCCTAAGACACACACACACACACACACACACACACACACACACACACACACACAAAAAAACCCGGCTGCCTTTCATGTCTAATCCACCGAGGGTACTTGCTAAGAATGGGAATCTGGGCGGCCAAGAGAAGCATTTTTAAACGGTACACGTGAGCTACGATAGTTAGCACGCTGCGAAAGTGCGTCCCGTGCCTCGTTCATTTTAGCGGCCGTTGCTCATTACGGCATGGAAGTGTGTGCGTATGCGCGCGTGTGCGGTAAGTCTATTGCGAGAGGTTGGTTGTTCGAAAAGTAGATCTTCCGTCAAAAAAGTTTGGGCACCCCTCCTCTACAGGATGAACTGCAGGGGGAAAAACGTTTAATCATGCTCGTTGTGTATTTGTAGCCAATTTGGTCGTGTTGATAGCAGGCTAATATAGCTCATGTAGATACATACAGCATGTGTTGCCTTCATTAGAAGGCTTTTTATTTTTTGCGGCTCCAGACATATTTGTTCTTTGTTTATTTTGGTCCAATATACCCCTTTTCAACATTTTGGGTTGCAGACCCCTGCCATAGGTGAACAAGATGTTTAACCATTTATTGTTTACGATGTTGCTGTCCGGTGGTAACAAACACGCAACGTGAATGTCAAATCAGCAGGATCCAATTCATTTTAAAGGGTTTGAGGGGATTAAAGTGGAGTTACATAAGAGCACCACGGGATTGGTGACCCGAGCGGGGCATGCGCATTTCGTTCTATCCACAGCAGCTCGAGCAATAGCCTTTTAAACCTTTTAAATCTGTGTTGAATGGTTTCGGTTGTTTGACATTTAAAAGACGGAGGACGCTTGACGGTAAGTTTTGTGTCTGAGTGCTGCTCATCGAATGTTGTTTTTGTGAGCGTCTGCTCTGCTGTCAGTCAAGCTGCATGAGACAGCGACCGGCCGATAAGTGCGGTGAAAAGTAGCAGAAATTATTCACGCAATACTGTGCTGTTCTGTGCCTGTCCGGCTCTGTGGGCAATTTTGCAGCCTCGTTATATTTATATTTCACGTCACTCCCGACCCACCTTCTGTTCGTTGGACGCTTTAAACATCAACAAGGTAAATGTTACTCTATTTTAACTGGGAACAAGGTTTTCTGAACAGACACGCAGCTGTTTCTATTTTACAAATCTCTCTGTTCACCCTGAAGGCAAAGTATTTGGTTCTGAAAACAAGTATTAATTCAATGACCGAGTGAACATTTCGAGAATTTATTCAGTGATTGATTAATGTGAGCGCCAGTTTTCCCACTGTCAAAACAAATGAAATGGGACACGTTAAAACAAGGTCCTAATGTATGTTTTCATTTGTTGGATGTTGTTTTGCCCTCTATGAGGTGTGTTGTCCTCTGCAGTTGATGAATTTTTCACTTGCTGTCCAATGCCATCGTGAGCACACACCCACTCGTACGCATGCATCCCATTCCCCTTTCTCTTCGTGAGAACTTTGTGTTCCTTTGTAATTATCCTCTGCTTCGAAAACCGAACAACTTTCCCTTAGTTATTTGTTGTTGTTGTTTCTCCCCTAAGTCCATTTTCACAACCTGCAGTCTTTACTGTGCGTGCCTGAACTGAAATGTTTTATATAATTCAAGGAAGGTAGAATAGCACTGGCGTCACTATTGGTCTGTCCACATTTTTGTTGTTGTTTATTTATTTACAAATTATTTAGTTTAAATTTTTTGACCAAGACTATTGAGAACGGCTTGCTGTTTTGTGGTAGCAATAGTAATGATTTTACTGCATTTCCTGAAAATGTATACTTTTGGAGAATTCTATCTGATGCCAGTGATAAGGAAATGTCACAAATTCTCTAGCATTAAATTATTTACTGGTAAAAGGCTCCAACCATACAGACAATGCCTTATAGGAGGGAAAAGTTGCAAACACTGAAAAAAATTGTTAGTACTATATTCATATTATTTAGTTACTCTAATTGGAACCTTCTCATAGCTTACTCCAAAACCGGACTACAGTGTAATTGTCACGATCTGGGCCAAGTATCAATGGACCATTCTGTCCGTCACTGACGGACCTCCATTTTCATGACGACCGACAGAAACATGCTCTGGCTTTCTCTTGTCTGTTCGCGGGGCTGAATACAAAGCAGGGTTGCTTCCATTGACTGTATATGGAAACACGTTGTGCTTCCTGTACAGTAGGTGGCGGTATTCACGAAAGAGCTGTAATCTGACAAATGAATCAAAAATAAAATGATGATGACGATCATAGACAGGAGTAGGATTGTAGCTTAGTTGGATTGGATTCTACCCTTGGACAAAATGCGAAGGTTAAGGTAAGCCATTTTTAACTGTACATAAAAACATTTTGCCATTTTAGGAGTGAAAACAGCTGCAGGCGGCCACCAGCGTACTTCTGCTGTACTTAACAGTTCAATAGATTGTCAAATAACTTCATGTGTGTGTAAAGCTCAATGGACCTAAACCGTTTGATGTCAATAGTGAGGATGTAATGATAATGGCATTATCGCAATATTAAATATCAAATCATTTGATTGTGACATGACAATGACATTGATTCAAATGTCATCGTCATGTCACAATATTAAAAGGACCACATCTGTGTCTGACGTTCACACTTCCAGCGTGTGATGCCCGATTCAGATTTTTGGTTAAATCTGTTCTTTTTATATACTCGGCCACATGACAAAAAGAAATGTGACTTTTCATCTGAACGCAACGCCACTGTGATGTGACACATAGGTGTCCAAAGCATGACATCAAGTGACATTGGGGGGAGAAAGACATCATGTCACGCAGTGTTTACGGAAGTGAATATGTTCCTGCTAGTAGAGGCTCTTCTTAACATCTCATCACCAAAGTAGCGATGCCGGAACAGGTCCAGGTAGAAATGTTTTGGGGATATGATGCAACGCTCCTCAATCTCATTGAATGGAGATGTTTGCTAAAGATGATGTCACGTCTTTGCAGCGTGTACTAAACGAACCATATGCGTAGTTGAATTATGATTAACACCACATAATTCCACTGTCCACTTTTTGTGTAATATTTCGAGCGGGATTAAAGTCAGAAAAAAAGTCGCACTGCATGAAAAAAAAAATCACATACGTGTCGTAACTGAGTTGCAGTGTGAACATATCCTGAGCATACAGAGGAGACCTTTGAGAGTGGGGAAAAAAATGTCTGACTGGTTTATAGATGGATTGTGTGGTATTCACAACTCCCTGCCCTCGGGCTTGTACAGCGGCCAGCTTTCACAAATGCATGCATCTGCACACAGCCATGTTTTTCCTTTGCTCAATAGAAAGGACAGAGGACTGCACATGTCTGTCTGATGTTCTTTGACGGGCAAGAAAGAATGTACATGCAGTACACTAACTGTAGGTTTTCCCATTGTCCGCCAAGCCTCCTCTGGCCGACCAGAGGCCCCTGCTAAAGTGAAAAACCGCAAAGAGGTTTTTAAATTGGAGAAAAACATGGTGATGGGTAGCGCTACACCATTCATCATCTTGGTTGTCTGGAGGGACGTCATAGAATTAGTTTGAGTAATGAGTCATTTTATTAGAAGTTATTCCCACAAATAAAGTTTGACATATCATTTACTTAGATCAAGTTTGGCAAAGGCGGTCAAGTGGTTAGCGCATCGACCTCTCCCCGTGCCTGCATGGGTTTTCTCCAGGTACTCCGGTTTCCTCCCACATTCCAAAAACATGCATGGCAGGCTTATTGAAAACTCAAATTTGTCCCCGGGTGTGAGTGTGAACGCCGGTGGTTGTTTGTTTGTGTGTGCCCTGCGATTGGCTGGCTCCAGCACCCCCCGCGACCCTTGTGAGGATAAAGCAGATCAGAAAATGTATGCATGGATGTGATGGATGGATGGAAGTTTAACAAAAGACAGAGAAAAGTGGACTGCAAATGGGTTGAATGATTTAAGTCACAATCCAATTTCTTTTTCCCTCCATGAAAGTGTATTTTGCTTTAATTGCTCACTCTTTACATTTAGTGTACATCACACCCATTTGTGATTATTTTGGTTTGAGCTTTTAAACCTGATGTGTCCGATTGCTTACAGCTTTTTGTCATCTAGGTATGAAGTTCCCCGTGGATTTCCTGGCAAATGTCAGCCAGGCCGAGCTGGAAGCATCAGCACACAACTACCTGAACAACCTCCTTCACAACAACACAGATTCTGCCGAGCAACTTATCCTCACCGACTCCACCAAGGTTATACAGCCAGAAATTGCTCACCTCTCTGTTCTGTAATGGAAAATAGCAAGTCAAAGTACAATATTCTTTATTTCATTATATTTTGGTTATTCTCTAAGAGAAAATTATTAGGAGTGTAAAGATACACAAAATTCATGGTTTGGTTTGGTACGTTAGTGTCACGGTTTGGTACTTTTTTTGGATGACATTTTTTTTACTGTAGTTTGTTCATGTAAAATGTTCTTTATTTTTATTTATTTTTTTCATTTTAAACTTACCGGTATCACAAAGTGCTAACAGCTGATGACAAATTGTACATCCATGCCCATTTTCAGACAGAGGATGAAACACACTGAGTTTCAGAAATGTATACAAATAGGTGAAAAATATGCGAAAAATCCCACAGCAGAACAGCCAATCTATAGAAATCCACTTTCAGTATAATTTGCCTGAATTTCCATGCATTTAACATTATGACAAGAACATTACTGTGGGATAGTTATTGCAGTATATTATGACACAGTAAAAAGAATTATGCATACTGCTCAGTCAGACAACATAAGCATTGTTAATAAAAATATGTCATAGATTTTATATGCTAATACTTTTTCATTATATTATTAAATGTTATTCTTGTATTTAAAATGATATTTTATATTTCTAATTAAGTGGAGATTGACCCAAGGGCAATTATGGGGGCTGTGCTTGTACACAGTGGATTGGTTGTTTTTACTCAAAGCCCTGAATGCCAAGCTCTGGCCCTGGGCTGAGCCGCCGATGATGTCACCAGTAGCCTGACAGGCAGCCAAAGTTTATAGAAACCTGGCATTGCAGGGTATGAATGAGAAGAGACTACTAAAAGACACTTGACTTGATTGACACTTGGAAGTGAGGTCTCCAGCAAAGATGTGCATCCTTTGCTTACCCACATGACCTAGTTCATGTGATTTTTAACACACAAATGAGTATTTTGTGCGGCCTCAATATTTTATGGCCACATGCAAGCATTTTGTGTCCATATTTTATCTATATTGTGGCCACAAATTGAAATATACAACAAAAAAAATCCCATGTAATGTCCTGAGCTCCATAGATTTTAGTGGATCTCTTCTCTGTAGTTGTATTTCTTTTCTTTTCAATGAAACACACACTTGAGAAAATTCTGATTTGAGAAGGTGGTCCACCTCACTTTTACCATACTCAGCATAGTATTGCTTCTCTTCCCTCAATTACTTTGTGGACATATTTTTTCAATACAGATTTAAGTGAGACACTCAACATTGAAGAACCTTCAGGAGTACAAAAAAAATAAAAATCTTATCCGTGTGTTCATTACATTCCTGATCTCAACTGATTTTATTGAACCATTCTCATTAAGGGCAACGTGCATTAAAAATGCACAACCGCTACTAAGATAAAACAATGATAATGAGGCCCGGGTTTCAAAATAATTTAATGCCCAATGGTTAAGAACAGCAAAAAAAAAAAAAAAAAAATCCCACCAAAAACATCATTGTTGCCACCAAGCTTATTGCAAAATGGAAAGGAAAAAAAGGTTTGAACTGTTTTTTTTTTTAATATTATTTTAAAGTGGCCCTTCTACATCCCATTCTGTAGACTTGGGCCCCCTGGCTCCTTATCTTAAGCCAACAGTCTTAAACTGGATGGTGATTTTAAATTGGACCGGCAAATTGGTACCAGTGTGAAATCCAGCTTCTTTCATCTTTGGCATCTGGCTAAAGTAAGTAAAGCCTCTCCTTTCTCATGAGCACTTTGAAACAGTAATCCAATGCCTTCGTCACATCCCGGTTGGATTACTGTCATGCATTTTTCTTGGCGTCAGAAAATCCTCCATTCAGTGTCTTCAGTTGGTCCAGAATGCTGCTGCTCGCCTCTAGACTGGTACTCGTAAAGAGGGAGCACATCACTCCTACTCTAACATTGGCTCCCTATCCATTTTACAGTTTTTTTAAGATCATTTTATTTGTTTTCAGATCTTTAAATGGCCTCGCCGCCTTACCTCTTTAAGCTCCTTCACCCCTACGCACCTGCCCGGTACCTCAGGTCTGCGGACCAGACATTATTAGAGGTGCCAATAACTAAGCGGAGGCTCAGAGGGAATCACACCTTTTCTGTTGCTGCTCCCTCTCTTTGGAATGACTTCCCACTGAATGTTCGGCAAGCCCCCTCGCTGCCCATCCTTAAAACCCGTCTCAAAACTCAACATTTTTGTCTAAAAATCAGTCCACAAACCACCTGACTATTATTAATTGACACCACTATGCCACAAGATGGTGCCAAAGTAATACTTTCACAGCTTTGGCCTTGGCACAAAATCAGAGAATCGGTCTTTTTTTTCAAGGAATACGAGCATAGTTTCCCAGAAAAAAAAATGAGTAGATCACATATACATGGGTTCACTGTACAGTTCCTGCATGGAGTCTCATTCGATTGTGGTCATCAGGTTGGGGAATTGTTTGTATATTTATGACATATTAATAACATATACTCATTTCTGTGCCCTCCCCACTGTCTTCAGGTTAGTGTAGACATTTCCAGGGTAGGCTATGTTCCTCTGTATGGTTCCGGTGACAAAACGAGGATGCTGGCCCTCTTTTCCCCTGCTGACCCGCTCACTGCTGTGGCTCTGTACCTGTTGGACCAGTGGTGGACCGTGGACGATATTCTCAAGACATCTGACCTTGCTCGAGATGGAGTTGTTGAGGTAAAAGCAAACTGTCAGCAGTTTGTGTAAAATCAGCAGGTGGCTAGCATCCATCACATGTGTGTATATAAGATCATAGCACAAGATTCAGTGAGTGCAGCCTCCTGTGTGTTTGTGGATCTCAGGGAAAGCAAACAAACAAAAAAAACGGTTTGTGTACTTTTGATATTAAGTCAGCGATGAGAGGTTGAAATCTTTCTTGGCTGATAGTGTCTTTAAAGATAACCAGGCATCCTGGTTTGCCCTTAATTTTTTCGTGATCATATAATATGCTTTTTATTTGACCAGAAAGACACAATCGAGTTACCTCTTATCACTGTGTTCTCGGCAGGGCCTGCCCACCTTGTAATATGATTGGCAACAGCATCCGGCCTGTGTCCTCTCATCTTTTATATCTCCTGTTCCATTGTAAGGCTTCTACTGTAAAACAACCTGGTTCCCCCCCCTCGTTTACATTATACTTTTGTAGCCATGAGGTCACAATGGAAGCATTCCTCAGAATCTCTTCCAACCTGCTTCGAGAACGCCAGCCGAGGAGGGTTGTGATTGTGACTGTCATCTAATTCAGCGGTCCCCAACCCCCGGTCCACGGACCAATACCGGTCCGTGGGTCATTTGTGCCAGACCGCACAGAAAGGTTAAATAACTTACATTACTTGGGTTTTATTCACTTTGGAATCTGAAAGATGTTTTAATTTGAAAAATTACCGGATTCTCTGTTGCATCCGTCTACTGTATGTCACTCTTGATGCAGGTCAAGGCGCGCTTCTCGGTCATGTGATAGGTTACCGCTAAAATGAAACCCAGGAGCTAGCAAAACGAGTTAAAAAAAGGTGTTGGAAAGTTTTTTTGGGGGAAAGGTAAAAGGCACAGCCAGGAGACAGAAGAGGAGCCTATGACTTTCAAGAAAAAGAAGGCTACATTTAATAGACAGTATCAGGAGTCCTACCTAAAATACGGATTTATCTCAACGGGAGATTCCCACGCACCAAGGTCATATTTTTCATGCACTTTTTATCTGCAGTCTATCTTATTTTGAAGGCACATTTAAACGTTACCATCGCGACCAGAGAGTGTTGCAGCCTGATAGGACGATCCCTGTCTCATCATTTGTGTTTATTAGGTTTAGAAAATACAACGTTTTTCATGTAGGTCATATCATATTATTTTGTTGTATTTATCCGGCCTTAAAGGCCGGTCCCTGAAAATATTGTCTGACATTAAACCATTCCGTGGGGCAATAAAGGTTGGGGACCGCTGATCAAATTGACTGAGAGATGGGGGTGTTTCTTTAAATGCAACAAAGAATTCTACTGCAAACTCCCATTTCCTGGTTTTAGGCCAGTGAGACAGAGCATCCTGCTGCCAAGTCATAAAAATATTTTTTTTATATACGAAGGTCATTCAATAAATAAGGTGAATTGTTCTGTATCAGGACTTCTAGAGATACAGACAGAAGCTTTTTTTTTTAAACATTGTCTCCCAGCACTGTCACAGCCTTTCCCATCAGTGCACCATCTTCCGTATCCCCTCAGCGTAAAAATCTTTGGACTGATGTCTCAACCAGTCGCTCACAACAATTTTGACTTCGTCACTTTCAAACTTCGTGTCAACAACTGAACTGCTGAGACATAAAGAACAAACACAGGGGTCATCATTCAGAAGGAGTCCTCTTGTATCATGACAATGCAAGGCCTCACACAGCAGTCCAAACGGTGCAGACCATCAACGAACTGGACTGGGAACTGCTCCCTCATCCCCCTTCCAGCCCAGACCTTGCCCCTTCAGACGTTCACCTGTTTGGCCCCTTAAATGCGTTCACGAGAGGACGGAGGACAGATCGGCCAAATAGGGTAAAGTGTCCATCTCTGGTATATGCTGTATTTTTATGTCTTGGTGGTGGCCGGTGAGTGCCTGTGTGTTTCTCGCTTAAAGATGAAAATTGAATTTTTGTCAGTGTGAAAATTTCTGTGCAATTAATGGGGTGTTATTAACAACATGGCCATATGCAACAGTGATTCATATTTTAAATCGTCCCAAAACCAGTTACCGAGACTCATCACTCGTGTAATCTGTCGCAAGACCCCACACACTGCGAGTGTGCAGTGGAGACTTGCACAGTTCAGATGATCCCCCCCAATTGATTGGTGCCTGTTGTAATGGAGAAGCAACAGAGGCCAGGCCAAGAGAGGCGGGGGCAGAGCGGGGCCAGGCCGTTCTCAAACCTGTAATAGAAAAATGCCATATGATGGAGAAGCCATGGTTGAAGTGCTAGTAATGGGAAATGTCTGTCATCTAGTGGTGAACGGTGTTAGTACAACTTAAAACTAGTCAGGCTCTGTGGAGGAAACATTTTACAATTTTCAGTAATAATCTACTCTGAGTCCTATAAATTTGATGATTCTGTGTGTCCTCTAGGTGGAGACCGTTGGAGAGAGAATAGTGTTATATGTTTTGAATCGGGTGATCTACAGAGTAAGGGAGATGAACTCTGAAGAGGAACTTCCCTTCCTCTGCCATGGGGAGAAGGATTATGCAAAGATTTGCTGGAGTAATGGAGAGGCTGTTGGCTTCTACTCAGTCAAACCCTCAGGTGACCTTCATTATGTTGTGAATGTACTTTTCTTCGACACTGATTGTCGTTCACCAAAGTCCGATTAAAAAAATAATAATAATTTACCGTATAATTTGTTCCAGCGTCCAACTATTGTCATCATAAAAGTTTATTATGAATGCAATTTTTTAACCTTCTTGTTGTATAAGTCTGGAAAAACAAAACATAAAAAAAGGTTTTACATATCCAGGTCAAAGATTTTCATGCATATTTACGTTTTGCTTCCATTTTAGGAAGTTTACATAATTATCTTTCAACAAGAAGATATCAACTTCCTGTCATGGACTCTCTGTTTGTGAGAAAATGTCATCGTGGTAATGGCTTCGGCCTACGCATGCTGGAGGACTTTGTGCTGAGTTTTCAAGATGGCTGTGTGGGATTGAGGTATCCGCTCACCAAAGCCATGTACAAAAGTATGTATGTCTTTCATATACAATTTGTTTGAGGTTATAAAGATGAGGGAGGGAAGGGCAATTTAAACGATCGAGGGGACCACAATTTTTCATCAGCACGACTGAGGTGCTACGCAAGACTGCGCACTGCCTAATCAAATGTATGACAAACCCCATATTTAATAAGGGTGAAATATTTGTAGAGATCTGCTTTCATTATTGAACCAATGTCCTGGCATTTTCGCATTAAATCCATGACTTTAGTTAGGATGATGACAACTCCTCTCCTCGAGCACTTTCAAAGATGGCAAATACGCCCAAATTCTTGATAGACAAACTCATCCACAAGAACTACAGACAAAGAGGGCATTGATGGATGGGGCACACACATTCACCTTCTGTCGCTCTTTCCTGACAGAAACATACTTTGCTATATATTGTAACTCGCACTTTGACTATATACTTGGTAGACAGCTGGAGTGCCGTGGATGTTTGATGCTCTGCCTGCTCTAACACGATACAGGAGATGATATTTATGGAGCCCCAGTATGACATGGGTAGTTTTTTTTCATGGGGGGGGGGCAAACAATATATAATATACACAGAAAATACTACAGTAATCCCTCGTTCATCGCGGTTAATGGGGACCGAAACCACCCCCGATGGACGAAAATCCGCGAAGTAGCGAACCTCCCCGTATAGGTATATGTACATGTGTATGAGTAGAAATAATATTTATAAGGCCAAATTTAATGGTAAACATGCATGTTTGTAGTAATTAACATTACATAATGCTATATACTAATATATTTAAACACGTATAAGTTAGGTTAGGTTAGTGTATGAATAACGAAATACAGTAAACACATACATGTAGTATGTTGCTCTATGTGACTCACTGTTGTCTTGCTGACTTTCACTGCCTCTCGCGGTGTGAACTTTTTGCAGCATTTTCGCATGTAATTTTTTTTTTTTTAATGAATATGTGAAAAAAATCCGCGATGCACCGAGGCCGCGATAAACGAACCGCGAAATAGCGAGGGATCACTGTAATTTGTAAACACAAAATACTGTTTTGTCACCACAAAACAAGTATGACGTGCGCACGAAATACAAATTTGTGGACACAAAATAGCTGTGGCTCCAGACTGGACAGTGGGGTAAGCGAAGTGAGAACTCCTTATAAATGGTAAGGTCAAGATGGAGGCTTAAGACAATTGACAGAGACACAATAATATGACAGGATTTTCTTTTTGACTGGTGTTAAGAAACAAAGACATTCTTAAAATCCCATCATTGTATGCTTATAGCTGAGGACAGAATAAGAAAAGACCCTTTTCTTAATAAGGCCTTCTCTGCAGGCGCAAACACTATCAGAAACACCGAACTATATTTACAACAGATGAATTGAAAGTCATTTCTGTATGTCTTGGCCGCGTGGCTTCCGGTCGTCTGTGGCTTTATTTTCTTATTATTTTTTGGTCTAATCGGATTTCAGCTTCAATGTGTTGCTATGCACATATTATTTTGTCCATCACCTTCAGGACCTCGAGTGCAGGCATGAACCACACACACCTACCACTGAAATCGCTGGTTCTTCTTTTAGATTGTAGATTCACTGACTTTTATGATGCTATTACAACCCAACCAACACTGCTTTGTTGAGTGGCTGGTTTTCCAGATTGTGTTCCAGATTTGATTTTTTTTTTTTAACTACTTAGATTCCTTAAACCCGATTGTATAGATGCACATCTTAAAAAGCTTCAACTGTAACCTTTCTTTACAGCACCCTTCATTTTCATTTACATACATATCACGACAGCAGCTTCTCACATGTAGCAATCAGGCCTAACAGTTATACAATCTTAACATGTCGTGTTTGTGAAAATAACATTAACATGGGCAAAAATACATCATATATATAATATATATGTAGCAGATACTGAGTAAATATGTATAGCATTTTTCTAACTACATGTAATAGTAAAGCATCAGTTACATCAATCAAGTCATCGTAATGCATTGTCAAGGAACACCATAATACTTCTACTGCAAGCCAGATGACAACAGATCAGATCATGTGAATGTGGTGCAATCATCATGACAACAGCCATATCACTTTTGTATAATCCATAGCATAACAAATCATTTTATGTTTTTCCAATATCACCAAGTCATCACATGCCTTTATGGATGATTTATAAACTGTGGTCCAAGCCCCCCCGCTTTAACTTGGGTTTGTCGCACTCCAGCGTTCAAATTGGAAATCACAATTTAAATCCATTCTCAATTCAAATTGGAGGAACTACCTTTTCCTGGGAGTTAACCCATTAAATGATGAATGTATTTCATAATAAAGCCATCACATGAACATCACTTCATCTTGACATGGTGCTCCAGTGACATCATTTATACATCTTTTATCATCCACACCTCACTCATGGGCCCTTCGCCCTTGGCAAAACTCGTCACCCCTTCCTTGGGTTAAGTACCAGGAACCTTTACAAGGTCCTCCTCCGCCAGGCCCCCCTCAAGGGGTTCTGGAGACGGTAAGGGAAGCCCTGCGATAGCACCCAGCACGAGGTCCAGCACCTCAGCCCCGGAGAGTGGCTCACCCGAAGTCTGGCGGATGCGGAGACGAAGATGCAGGTGGAGGTGAGATGGGCGAGTATGCAGGCGACGAAACTTCCTCCACACCTCACTCATGGGCCCTTAGGCCTCGACACAACCCGTAAATCTACAAGAGTGATTAAATTATGCTATGGGTTTTACATAAGTGTCTTCAATTCGTCTACTATTCATTTGGCTTTTGTGTACTGTGATTCTCTTTCAAAGGAATCAAAATTAACCTTCAAGTAATAAAGCCGAGCGTCAAACCAACTTACGGCGTACCTGTATCATTGCTTCTCTGCCGTATGTTAACAACATGAATCGATAGTTTTAGGGTCAGTCCATCGTGAAAAGTGTTGCTTCTATATTTGTTGTATTGAAAATAAAATGTAATGCTCAACTCAACTCAACTGTATTTATAGAGCACTTTCAAACAGCCATCGCTGCATACAAAGTGCTGTACATGGAGCAAATTAACATATACAACAAACAGTAAAGCAAATCGGTAATAAAAACAGTAGAAAGCACCAAACAGCAAAACCAAGAACAATGAAAGTCATGCTGAGTCAAATGCCAAAGAATACAAGTGAGTTTTGAGGCGGGTTTTGAAGATGGGCAGCGAGGAGGCTTGCCGAATGTTCAGTGGGACGTCATTCCAGAGAGAGGGACCAGCAACAGAAAAGGCTCGATCCCCTCTGAGCCTCAGTTTAGTTCTTGGTACTTCTAATAATGTCTGGTCCACAGACCTGAGGCGCCGGGCAGGTGTGTAGGGGCAGATGAGCTCAGAGAGGTAAGGTGGCGCAAGGTTATTTAGAGATTTGAAAACGAATAAGAGGATCTTGAAAATAACTCTAAAATGTATGGGGAGCCAGTGAAGGGATGCCAGAGTAGGAGTTATGTGCTCCCTCTTACGAGTACCGGTCAAGAGGCGAGCAGCGGCATTCTGGACCAGCTGGAGACGCTTAATGGAAGACTGGCTGACTCCAAAGTAAAGGGCATTGCAGTAATCGAGCCGGGATGTGACAAAGGCATGAATTACTGTCTCTTTGATTTGTTTTTTTCTGAGCTATACAGTACTATACAGAGATAATACTAATAATTTATTTCAATTCACATTGATAATGCGTTGTCACTTTTCTTCACAGTGTGTGAGAAGTACCTGTGTCAGTACCCTGAAGACACAGACCTACTTTGGGAGGTGGAGGGTGTGGGTGGACCAAACCAGATGTTCAATATTAGCAAGAGGGTTCAGACCATAGATTTGAGGGGTAAGAACTAACAACATACACAGGTCAGATGTGCAGTTGTAAAAATATTCTGTTCAGGTGCTTTTCATCGTTAATTGTTTGTCTGCAATAATACCACAGTAACCATCCTCCCACCCATCTTATCAAATCCTTCCCACCAATCTTGCCAGGCTTGACAATTCACCCTACCATTCATAATTGCACATTGTTAACAGACAGTAACAAAAGCAAACAAAGTACACAGGCACGTTTCCACCAATAAGAAGTTTGAAGAATTCCAGTCTGGTTTCCATCCAACGTACAGTGGTGCCTTGAGATACAAGTTACATTTGTTCCATCACCATGCTCTTAACTCATTTGCATTTAAAATCATCTTTACCTGCCCCGTTTGGCTGAATGGTCATGCAGAATGAAGAATCAGTATCCTTTTTATGCCAGAACAGTTATTCCATGCAAGAGTTTTTTTGTTTGTTTTTTTTAATCCTGCCACCATGTCCGTTCATATGATGATATATATGTATTGAAGTCTGCAGTGGGAAAGAAAAGTTTTAAGAGGGGAGTTACAAAATAGAAGAGATAATGGAGAGAAAATAAAAGGGTAAAATGATCTGTTCTTAGGCGTCTATTCTCGGTATTCACTTCCATGGTTATTTAGATGACATAGAGCTCTATATCTCCTCTAAACCTGATGAGTCCCTTCCTCATTCTCCCTCTTTGTAAATACACAATCAAAATAACTGTTTTCAGATTTAAAAGCTAATCTTCTGCTTGTTGATTTATAATCTGTCTTCGCCAATTCAAACAGTTATTCACTCTCGATTGGCAGCTTTATTGCCCCCCCCCCCCAAGTTAAGTGTCTGGGTGTCATCCTCAACAGCATACATACCAACATACCAATGAAATTACATGGTCAAAACGTAACAATAACCACCCCCACACATAGCCGACCATCTTTGACAAAGCCCTGGCCCCATCTCACCTTGGTTACTATAATTCCTATATGGTGTACGCTCTGCTCTTCTTCCTCCATGCCGCTAACTTTACTTCCTACTCTTTCGTGTCCAAAGTTTCAGCTACGCAGCTCCTCAGCTCCTCATCTCTGAAACCGTTTTTTCACAATCCCTTCCGTGATAATAACTCTCTCACACCACACGTTTACTCTCTTTCAACTTGCATAGGCCATTCATTACGAATACTTTAAAAAAAAATGTATTCCTAATTGCTCTTGTATTCATCAGTCTGCAAAGTGACCTTGAGTGCCAGTATGTCCAATTCTTTATTTGTAAGCATTCTTCAACGCTTACAAATGAAGCGTATTATTGTTCTTTATTGATGATTTATTTACCTACTGGTGTTTTTTATTTTTACTATCACTACCACTATTTTATGTATTATGTCAACATTTGTGTTGTCTGTTTCTCAGCGGTATCAACAGATGTATTACTTACTGCGACACCACAAGAGGTCACGAGAGAGACAAAAAAGGAAGTGGCCAATGAGCCAATTGCCACCGAGCAGACCAAAGAAGCCAAATCTATGGCATATAAAGTTGAAACTGTGGTATGTTTCTTTAGTATTGTATTTCTGTTTGTGGTTCAGTAAGAAAGAGACCTATGATTTAAATCCGGAAAAACATTTTTGAGTTGCAGGAAGAAGTGTTGGTGTCTAGCGCTGCTAGAGGTAAGCATTTCATTATTTATCTTCAGTTAAAATGCTTCCACATGTTGTGCAAATGTTTATGTGTTGAACTAATGTTTATTTGAACGAATGTAATGATCTACACAGACACTAGTGACAAGCCTGTTGCAACTCGGACTACAAGCAGTGGCCAAAAGCAAGCAAAGACAGTTGATAAGATTGCAGAAAGCCAACCTAAAAAAGTTGTCAGGTAACCACACACTGCTTGACAAAATACATGTTAAAGCATTTCTTCAGTGCCATTTGATCAAGTGGTGGCACACACAGCTGAGGTTCATACAGATTGCATAGATTTCATTTTCATTGTCAGTGTGCTCTTCAACTGTCACAGCAGGCTCTATTTTCGTGGCCAGCGGGCATGTTTAGACAACATTCAGCCACCAAACTGTCAGATCTGCTGTGCGCATATCAAAGGAAACACCCTTGGTAACACCAGAATGCCCACCGTGGCATAGAGTGGTCTGTCAAATTTCCAAACAGGCTAAATGAGGCCTGCACTGGCAAATGCGTCAGTTTTTTTTTAATATACATTCGACTGCAGCTATGCCATCAATGGATATGGAGCCCCGTGTGATTAACTGGTCATCAGAAAGAAATTTAATGTTTCAATCTTAAAAGTAATGCTCTCGTGTCTGTTAGAGTTGAAGATATTGAAGCAGAAACCCCAGAGGAACGTGTTTCTAGGAAAGAGAGGACTCCTCTTTTGTCTGATTTGGCGGTGACTGAGGTATGTGTGTAGTTAAAAACATTGAAGTTTTGAGGGATTTTTTTTTTAATTATTATTAATTCATACCAACCATGACCTAACTGTGAGACTGTATGTTTTAGGAAATATTTAGTACCCGTACTGAAGAAAAGAGAAAAGATTACGTTGGCATTGCCGTTGAAGAACTGGTGGAGGTAACCACCACTTTAACTCCACAAGAACCTGAGGATGCGCCAGCACTTGCTGCAGAGTGTCGAGACACAGAGACCGCGATGGATACTTGCTGTGATTCTCAAATGAGAATCGAAAATGTGTCAGAAATGGAAGGATTTGAAGAGGAGTCTCAGCAAGAGGACACAGCCGGAGAAGAATTGCCTATGACTATTGATGAAACATTTGAGGGAGAAGAGAATTGTCTTTCTGGGGGATATGATGAAGAGCAACACGAGTCAACAGTTTTGCCTTTGAGAGGAAGATGCAAGGGCGCTCTTGAAGAAATGAACCCATGTGGTCAAGAAAGACCAGTTGAGGAACTGAGTTCTCTGGGAAAAGGTGATGCTCTAAAGGCAGGGAAGGAAGAAATTACATCTATGCCTGAAGTAAACCTGGAAGAGAGGCGGGAAGAACAGGAAGATGAAAACAATAAAGGAATGGCAGAGGCTGTAACTGTGTCAAGAGATAATGGGAAAGATGCAGATAATTTGACGCTAGAGCTTAACACAGTTGCTGTTGCTGTGGAAAAAGGCAAGGCAGGTGAAGACCAGACTGTCGCATCGAAAACAGAATCATCTCAGAAAGAAGGCACTGAACTTCCCAAGCTCCAGAAAGCCACAGTGATCCTTGTGAATTTGAAAACAACACATCATCAACTTTGTGTGAAAAAAGTGGAAAAAACAACAGCCCCTGGAGAGTGTGCTGGATTACAAAAGGAGGAGACGGTGGAAGCAAGAGAGGAAAAGGATGAGTCCAGTTCGGTTGGGGAGGAACCCAAGACAGAAAAGCCTGAAACAGATTCAGAGGAAAACAGGACACGAGAATCAATCGGTCAAGTTTTTACAACTTCAGATACAGACATTGTTAAACTAAAAGACGATATTGCCAAAAATCAAAATGAGGAAAATGTCGATGAAATGGAAGAAGTGCCAGTCATTGAAATAAGAGTTCTTAGGAGTGGTAGGAAGAAGGTTGAAACGAGCTGCAAGCCAACAAGCAGAAGCAAAAAACATCAGGCAGAAGACAAATGTGATATTCCTGTAAAGGAATCCGATCGATCACGTGACATTATGATGGAAGAAGAGTCTACGGCTGTCACAAAAGACACAGAGCTGGGCAAACAAGCTGCAATTTCAGAGGCATCCGTAAATATAACGAGAGTCATCACAGAGAAGGTGACAACAATGGAAGACAATTCAGCGAGTATGATGGCGGATTCAAACGATGTCGTCCAAGCAAAGAATCCCGTCCCCCCACTTGAGGAGGAAACGGAACTTACTGCAGCAGAACAAATGGTGTCAAAGATACAGGATCTGAAAGCCGTTGATGTGGTTTTAGTAGACGACAGAGTCCAAGATCAAACTTCTGCTGAAAATGGAGATGAGCACGAGGAGCAGACAAACAAGGGAACCACGGCAGAGAAAAATGTTACTAATTCACCTGTGGAAACTGAGCAGGAAGACCCGGTTATGGAAGAGTGCACAAAGGGAACACAAGTTCAAGTGATAGGTCATGAGGGAAAAGCTGGAGAAGCAAATGCATTTAATCAACAGATATATGATCAGAAAGGGAGCCTTGAGGAGAAGGATGTTGACCTCCAAATGGAAACCACAGAACTAAAAACAGACATTGAGAAAGAAAACACTGTGTTGAAAGACTGTGTTGTGGAACAAGAGAAAGTTCAACAAGGACAAAAAGGGAAATGTGAGGCAAGTGAACAGGAGGTTGCAACCAGAGACACTCCTGAGATGGGGAGCACCTCCAATGATCCTGCGCAAGAATCCATGACAACACAAGGCGCAGTAGAACAGCATCAACAGACCCAACGTGCATTTGCCAACATTGAATCAGGGGACAGTGTGCAAGTGAAAAAGGTGGAAGAATTTACAACTACGGTTGATCAAAGTACCGAAGCGAAGAGCTCCGTGGAAAAGAAGGCAGATCTTGGTAAACCAGAAGCAGAAAGGGTTCCGAGTCAAGGAAAGAAGTCTGTTTCTGCTAGCAAGCGACGTAAATCCAAAAGAAAGCATAAGTTAGAAGGAGAACAAGAAGAAACTGCTGCACTTGAAGAAATGCAGGTTGAGCAAATAGGAGAGCTACTGAAAGAAGCTGATGACCAAGTTGTTAGTGGGGGAATCGCAGAAAGGCATGAGGAGGAAGATATGACTCAGAGGGAAGAATATACCGAGCCAAAGGTTCAGATTGAAAAAGAAGAATCGAAGCCACATCCCAAGATACGGGAAGAGGGACATACGTTTATTGCAGAGATAGATCAAACCGATGAAAGGATAACCGTTTCAGATGAGGAAAAGGTTGCTGATCCCGCAATAAAAACAAGAGTCCTGAGGAAAAGAAAAAAGTCTGCTTCCATCACCACTCTGCCAAGATCCAAGAGAGTCTGCACAAACTCTCAAATAGAGAAGCCAAAGATTTAGAAGTTATCGGGCTACCAATGTAAGACCAGGGGTGTGAGGAGAAAAAAGAGAACCAAACAACAACCAAAAAAAAAAAAAAAGAGGAAACTCCAGGCTCAGAAATTGTACATACTGTCATTGATGAAGATTGAATTCTTGGAGATGGCACAGCTAGAAACTCCAGTAACAGTGCTCAGGAGCAAAATAAAAGCTCATACAAAGATCAGAAACAAGCAAAGACCTCATGGAAACTGACATCACGTCTCTGGATCATGAAACCAAAACGCTCATTCTGTTCACTGATGATACACCTGAAAACTGAGATGGAATCACAAAAGAAGAGCTTCTTACCAGCGTAAAGTTTGAGACCAGACTGAGGGAACACCAAAGATGATTGATGACAGCCTTATTGATCGGGCAACTGAAGAAATATAAGACAAAGCACAAAGAAAGTACTTAAAAAAGAGACCAAAGGTGGATCATGATGAGATGGAGAAAGATGAAAAGACCGACAAGAAAAAAAACAAACATGGACGATAGATAGAGACTTAGACTAAAGGCACACAGATGTTACATGAACAATGTTTCAATTTTTTGTTGTTTTTTTTTTTTTTTGAATCCCCATTTAATATTTTTACCTTGTCTGTTTTAATTGTGCATTTGGTTTCGTCTTCATGTTTTTGGCTTTAGAGCCCCAAATTATATTTCTGTGAAAATAATGTACCATAGTTGTAAGAAATAATTGTTATTTGTATACCCCAAAAGGTCTTCCCAAAATTCCCCAACTTACCGGGCCACAGTGATGAATCAAACTCAAGAGCAGTATATGCTGTATATTTGCTATTCAACAAAGACAACAAAAGAAGTCAAATAAGCCATGCCAGTAAGTGTGCACAAATGTATCAGCGTTGCTGTTAAAGGCATGCAGAAAATTTAGTATGAGCGTGAGTGTTGTCACAGTATGAGAGCTCTTCTGCTCAAGTACTGATTTAAAAGGCCTAAAGTAACCCACCAAAAGTTACCATTACATCTGATGTGCTCTCAGCGATGGAATTAAAAATCTAAACAACTCAGCATTTTGGTTGTGAATAGAACGTGTATGATTATTCAGTCAATTGTTTTAAAAGGGTAAAAGTGACAAAATACCAAGTAATGTTTGCAGGCCCGTATGAATTTATCTTATTTTCTCATAATCCAAGATGCATTGTTTTTTTCTGAAATAAAATGTATTGCACTAATTTGCAGGATTTTTAGCGATATGACGTATACAGTATTTATGTAACCTTGGCCTGAGCGACCTTAATCTACCTGTGGTTGAAATGATCAGTGCCCTCTTAGGCATGGAGACACATGCACACTATGACAAAACATCAGATTGTTTCTTCTGTGTTTTGTTTTACTGGCACTGTGTCTGCCACAATTTCCAGTTTCCGATTTATTTTGTTTTCCCCAGACACATTAACATTGTTCAGCAATTTGGTTAAGGTCGCTGTGAGTTCAATTGGGATGATTTTTGATCATCTTCATCAATTTTCAGTGTACTATTATTATGTGTTGCAATTATTATGACGAGATGGAAGTTGAGATTTGAGTGACATTCTGACAGAAGTGTTTACGACTGTGAGGCCATTGCAGACCTGATGTTAAAGAAAAAAAGAAAAGCATTTCTGTTTTTGGTCAGACTGTAAAATAAAGATTCCATAAGACCTTTTCACTTTGGTGTCTTTTTAATCGTGGTAGTTAGAAGTGTCAAATTTTAATGACTATCGTGTACACATAACGGTTCAATACCTGCATGCAATTTTACATCTTCTAGAACACCAAATATTTCCACACGTGGACAGAAGATATAAGAAAAAACAAAAAAACACATTTGTTATTTGATAGTTCTCTTTGTGCTTTCGTGGGTTTTATCCGGGTATCCCGGTTTCCTCCCACATTCCAAAAACATGTATGGCAGGCTGATTGAATCCTCTAGTCTAAATTGTCCATCGGTGTGATTGCGGATGGTTGTTCGTCTCTGTGTGCCCTGCGATTGGCTGCCAACCAGTTCAGGGTGTCCCCTGCCTACTGCCCAAAGACACCTGGAATAGGCTCCAACACGCCCCACAACCCTTGTGAGGATAAAGCGGTTCAGAAAATGGAGGGATGGATGGATGTTATTTGAATATGAGCCCAGACAAGCTGGCATCCATTCCAGTCACAAAACTAAAAATCTATCAAATAATGAAGCCAACTAACCATCTCGCAGCTTGTGCCGGCTTCAAGAACAATGGTCACACTAGTTCCTAGCAAGTTATAATGAAGCTAACTATACTTACTAATTTTATTGACATGACTAGTTTCTTGCAAGCAAGCTAAAATAAAGTTGAAGCAAAGTTGTCCTAGTAAGTTTTAACAAAGTAGCAACTAGCAAGACACAGAAGTTATAATAAAACTAACTTGTTTATAACTACCTTGGTAATTTGTGATGTCATATAAACCATCCGTTATCTGATCTGCCTATCCTCACAAGGGTATCTCGTGCTGTAGCCTACCCCAGCTGTCTTTGGGCAGTAGGCGGGGCAAACCCTGAACTGGTTGCCAGCCAATCGCAGCGCATACAGAGACAAACAAGCATCCATGCTCACACTCACACCTCAGGACAATTTAGAGTGTCCAGTCAACCTACCATGTGGGAGGAAATCAGAGTACCCAGAGAAAGAACATGCAAACTCCACACAGGAGGCCGGACCCAGAATCAGAAACCTGCAGCTCTGCACTGGGTGGCAGGCGTGCTAACCAGTCGCCCACCATGCTGCGTCATACTAAGCTCAAAGTGTTAACCTGTCACCTTTGACCACATCACCTGCCACCTTTCTTATTTTAAGAGTTCACTTTTGTGTTTTGGTGTGCCAGTGATGGCATGCCTCGATATTGCTGATTAATGAATGGGTATTTGTAAGTTTGCTCTTCTGATTAAGTAGCTATACTTGAGTGAACACAATCAGCAACAAGTTGGAGCTGTAAAATTACATTGCAATCACAGAAATATGGTACCTAGCTCTCAGTGTTATTTCTGAGTTCATTGAACTTTGCAAAGTAGGAAATGCTCATTGTGTGCCATTGTGTCACCGTTGCCATTTGATCGTGCAATCACATGACGTCATTTGACTGTTGAACCAGACTTTATTTCTGTTTGACAGCATTGACAACAGCAGAAAAACCAATAATATTGTGTATTTGTTGGTAAACCAGGATTTGTGAATGACTGCAGTCAAATATCCACAGCATCCTTTCTTCAGAAGTCCTCTATGGGAAGGATGCAAACTTGCAAAAGAATCCCATCTTCAATGCTTATTAATTGTGTTGCTCGAGGGTGTAGGCATAATGGAGGGTGCCACCTTTCGTCAGGAAGCAGTCGTGCTCGTGGGTTCCAGGTCGGATCTGTCTCTGGCACACTCCCAGCTGGTCGTCAAAGATCAAATCCCTGTCATAAACCTCAAGCCTCAAGACGTCACGCTCCTGGGCCTTGAAATAGGAGAACTCCTCCTCCCACCAAGGGTTAACGGTGTCCTTCCGGACCGCTGTTTTGCCCAGAGTGGCGGAGCCACAAAACACCTTGACGTAGCCATCTGTGATCCCCAAAATGTCAGAGGGGAGGCCACTGGCACGCAAGTTAAACACCCTGAGCTGAGCCTGCGCCACAGGCAGAGCACATAGCACCAGAAGAAGGAGGGACAGACTTGAGGCCATGACTGTGAAGGTGAATGGAGAATCGCATATTAGTGGTAGGAAGGAGAGGAGGAGTAAATTAATGTTTCTTTTTTAGAATGATGACTGTTATGATTATAATTGAATGTGTAAAAAGCATGACATTAAGATTTCAAGAAGATACTCTTTTGCATGTACATCAACTCGAACTTATCTCGCGCAATGACTGAAAATTCAACATATAAATAACTCTGAAATTGTGTTTGGTTACCAACACTTCTCTCCAGAAATGAGTACACCTTTGAAAAGTAAGCCTATTAAGTTTCTTCGTAATCAGAACACCAATCTTCCAAATCACACTGATGGTTCGATTTAATCTTCAACTCAGTGTGTAGATTATAAATATTTAATTTGAGATTTTGATTTCCCCAATTTATCTTTTTTTTTTTAAATCGAGATACATCCATCCATTCATTTTCCGAACTGCTTTATCCTCACAAGGGTGGCGGCGCGGGCTGGAGCCTATCCCAGCTGTCTTCGGGCAGCAGGCAGGGACACCCTGAACCGGTTGCCAGCCAATCGCAGGGCACACACACAGACGAACAACCATCCATGCTCACACTCACACCTAGGGACAATTTAGAGTGTTCAATCAGTCTGCCATGCATGTTTTTGGAATGTGGGATGAAACCGGATTACCTGGAGAACAGACACGGGGAGAACATGCAAACTCCACACAGGAAGGCCGAGGCCGGGATCGAACCCACGAGCTCTTCACTGTGAGGTCGACACGCTAACCACTGGCCACCTCAAGATACATTATTTCACAAATAAAATGAATCACACTTGTGTTTTAGTTCAAGGGGTCCCCAACCTTTTTTGCCCCACGGACTGGTTTATGTCAGACAATATTTTCAGGTGTGGCAGAAATAATACAACAAAATAATATGGTATGAGCTGCATGAAAACTGTGGTGTTTTCAAAATATAACAATAAACACAAGGAGCGTCTAATCTGGCCGCAACACTGATCGCTATGGCAATGTTTAATGCCTTCAAAATACGACACAACGCAAATTCAAAGTGCATGAAAATGACGACTCACCACAGCCCCGAGCTTGATTTTCTGCAACCAGACGGTCCCATCTCGGGGTAATAGGAGACAATGACACCTCAAGTGTGTGGTTTATGTCCAGTCTACTTCGTAATTTTGTTTTAGTCGCCGTTGCTGCAGAAAACCCCCACCTCACACAGGTAGGATGTCGGAAATAGCAACAGTGCTATTGTGGCGATCTCAGAGTATTCAGCCATAACTTTAATCCAGTTGTCTCGAACGTACTTTTAAGGCCGCCGTCATTTGCGATCTCCAGCAGTTTTTTTACTAATTTTGCCAGCTCCGGCGTTTTGTTTTTAGTGTAATGGGTCACGTGACGGAGAAGTGTGGCTTGATTTGTGGCAAGCGTGACACAGACGGATGTAACGGAGAATCCGGTAATTTTTCAAAATAAAACATATTTCGTATTCCGAGATAAATAAAACGGAATTAAGGCAAGTTCTTTCTGTGCGGCCCGGTACCAAATGCCCTGCGGACCGGTGGTTGGGACCCCTGTTTTAGTTGTCAAAGTAGTACCAGTAATAAGCAATAGTAACAGTGGTAAAAGCAGGCAGTGTGACAAGGTGCTTGCCTTCATCTTACCTGTGTTCTTAGTGTCTTGTTTCTCACCTCTGTCAGAACTTCGATCTTTTTAAATGCCAGCAGGGCTCGTATCAGTCTGATAACGCTGTTCCAAAATTCCCAGAAAGCACAACCTGGGCCGTTCTCAGCATTTCGTAACGCAATGTGTGAGCAGGATGCATGAAGCCTGACATAACTGGGCCATGAACAGGAATTTTAGAAAATGGAAGGAGGAGTGTGTGTGCTTGTCACAGAAATGACTCAGAAACACAGGGAGGATGGAACCAGAATCGAATCCGCGACCTCTGCATTGTGTGGCAGACGTGCAAACAACTCGATCACTGTGCCACGCTAATATCGGTACATTTAATAATAATAATAATAATCATAATAATAATAATAATAATACATTTTATATTACACAGAGATCATTTTTCGAGGATTGGTTTGAGGGGAACATGGTCTTTGTCACACCTTATGGATGACAATGGTGCCTTATTGATTTATGATCATTTTAGCTGCAAACGTAATTTCAGGCCATCAAGTTGTAACTGTAATAAATTCTTAATTGCCCTTCCACAGCAATTTGTGCCCCCATCTCTGTCTTCCAAAAATAATATTTCATAAAAAACAAAATAAAAATAATATTCAACGCAACTTTGATGAGGCTACACTAAACAAGTTAAGAACTATCTATTTGAATCTTCCAATACCCCCAAAATGAAGGAAATACATTTTAAAATTATGAATAATATTTACCCATACTAAAAATTACTGATATCACACTTTATTATTGAAGACATTACATGATCTTTCTGAAACAATGACAATGAAACTACTGACCATGTTTTTCGCTTGTCCAATTATCCAATTTTTCTGGAAGGCTGTAAACCTCCTATGATCGCATCTTTTCCTGCCTCATTATGAAGAAATCATACAACTATTACATATAACTAAAATTTTATCTCACTCGTCCAAAGAAGAATAAGGAGATCTCTACAAATCGAATTTTATATGTGGTAAGGTTCATCCACAAGAAAGAATGTAACAAAATCTAACCCTTTTTATTTTCAGTTTCATAAACGTATTTGGCATTTACATGAATGTTAAATAAAAGCATAAAGCCACCGGAAATAGATAGAATCAGTTGAATTGAATGCATTGATTTATTTCTTTTTTGCTCTCTCTCATGTGGTTGAGAGGAAAGAAATTTCATCTGTGCTGTACAGGCATGTTGCACATAGAGCAAATTTGACAATAAAGTTGACTTGATTTAACTTGACTTGTATACCTAAATAAACCTGAAAAAACGCCCTGAATTTCCGTACGGTCGGAGTGGCACAATCACGCAAAAAAACAAAAACAAAAAAAAAAACAGGGTGCTGTGAGATTTCCGAACGCTTTTTGACGCTTATCTCTTTCCGTCTTCCGGTAGGACTGAATCATTCGGGAGAGCGAGGAGGGACGTGTGAGGTCTTTGAACGTTTAACCAGCAAAGACGATATCATAGTAACTTATTATTCCACGGGCGAAATGTATGCAGCACGGTCATTATTATGAATGTGATACTTATCTTACGTATGTCCTTATTTTTGTGTCTCATGTCAGTCGTGCGTAGCCAGTGGAATCGTCCTAAAACAATGTTCATAAGCAGCTCGAATTTAATTTAACGGTATAATATGCTGTCAAAAGATGTGTGAACAGCTGGTGGAGTATTTTCAGGGTCAGATACAAAAGAAAGACGCTGCTGAAGTGAGATGGTCACACGGAGTGAACAGTAGGAGCAAACTGGCCAAGGCTCTTCAAGGTGAGACGTATGTTTTCTGTTTACGAATTACAGCAAACTCACGCCGTGTATTTTAAGAGTTTGGGGTCAATGTCCGGGAGTGGCTGCTTTTAACACCTCAAACTTCCGTTCTGTAATCATTCCATCCTCCATTTATTATCTGACAACAGTGAAAACACCAGACATACTCGCTCCATAAAATGTACGATTTGATTATCGCAATACTAATTCGAATAATACCTGAAACGAAAGTAATTTTCACTCTGCTGTCTGTATGTGATTGCTCATTCCTACCGATTGCTGTCAGGCTGCTGAATAAACATATGTGAAAACCTGTAACCATTGTAAATAGAACAGCCACCTTACGCAGTGTTTTTCTATGCTATTGCTAATTTATTATTTTTATTCTACAAATATATTGCTAATGCTTTATTTTATATTGCACTTATATTGAACCGTGTACAGTTCTTTTCTGAAACATTTATTTTGTGCAATGAAACACTTTATCCCCCCCCCCCAATTTTGCTGCTGTTGACTGCAAATTTCCCCAGTGTGGGACAAATAAAGGTTATCTTATCTTATTTTGTTCCTATCTTATCTTAAATGTGATGCATCAAAGCCTCTTCATTCTGAAGTGATGCATCAAAGCCTCTTCATTCTGAAGGCTGCCTCACAACCCTCAAACAACTACATGCAACATATCCATATAGACATCTCTCTCTCTCTCTCTCTCGCTCTCGCTCTCGCTCTCTCTCTCTCTCTCTCTCTCTCTCTCTCTCTCTCTCTATATATATATATATATATAGATATAGATATTCTCCTGCACGGGCAATAACTTATTGGCTTATTGCCAATAATCCAACCTCCTTTTTCTCTCAGGTACCGCTCATATGATTGAGGCTGACATAATCGTAAGAGGCCATGACCCTAAGGAGCCTATCATGGGCCACCCTCCTGACACTGACAGTGATATAACACTGAAGGAATGGCTTGAATGTGTCAAGTTGCATGACAAGGGGATCAAACTCGACTTCAAGAGGTGAGACATAATCAGATGACGTTCTTTCAAAGTGGTGAGAGCTGACATGATGCTATTTCTAACCCATTTTGGTCCTTCCTAACAGCCAGGAGGCGGTGTCTATTTCTGTAGCCCTGTTGAAGGAAGCACTGGCTCAAATGACCTCTCCTGTGTGGATCAATGCTGACGTCCTTCCAGGACCCGGAAGTCAGACCAAACCATTGGAGCCTCACGCATTCCTGGCTGCTGTAAAGACTCTTCCCACTAACATTGTACTCTCCCTTGGCTGGACCACAAAGTGGACTGCAGGGATAGATAATCCAGGTGAGTGTGCATTAGAGGGTGACACGGGAGGAGATTTACAATCCTCTCCCATCCCGCTCCCACAAGAAATGTGTCCTCCCGTACCGCTCCCATTTTGGAAGTCAGCTACATTACAAAAAGGGAGGAAAAAAATGAAAGCTTATCACCCACTTTTCCTCATTGACTCTCCGAAGTACATATATTTTTCGTACTAGTGGATAATACCACTCCCATACAGCAGGATTCCTAAAAAAATGTCTCTACCTGGTTAGTGCTAGTCTCTTGGCTGTTTGGATTTATGGTATGCATATTTGCACGACTTTTATATTGCCTACTATGACATTGGAGGCTGATATTTATCAGAAATAGGTCATATAAGCAGAACAAATATTCACCGTGTAGCCTTTCCTCACGTGTACTTTATATGATGTTTGATGTATTTTTTATTCATTTTCAGTCAATGGATTTTTTTTTTACATTCATTGGCGTTTCAATGCCGCAATATTCTTGCAAGTTTGGCTTGCACTTTCTCACAGGCAGTCAAGGGCGTTGTAAACAAGTCATTTTAATGTGTTTTTTGGAAGATTGAACAGTTAAGCACTTGAACAATTTTGATGTAGCTTGAGAAACAAAAAAAACTAAGTGGCAAAATGACTTGGACTTCACAAAAATAAAAGATTGGGGCTAGTAACAAAAAAAAGAGGTCAAATTAATCTAAAAAAATTTGGTCAGGGTATAATTAAGACAAATTGAAGAGGATACAGTTGAGTTGAGTTTAACGTCTATCCATCTATCTCAATGGCGGGCGGGCAATGGGTTTTGGAGCTGAGGCTTCAATGGGCATTTAGTGATCTAATCCACCTCTTAATAACGCCATAATGTGACAATATGTAAACATTAAATTGTTGTTACCGGTTAAACTTGTCTCGGTGCATGTTAAAGCTTAGCTAAATTAGCTTAGCATTGATTGTTCTATCCATCATTAAACAGTGATCGAGTGTGGGTGTAAAGTGGTGTGATTATTGTGGCAAATCCATCCATCCATTTTCTGATCCGGATTGCGGGGTCGATTACACAAGGAATTGATGGAATAATCAATGCCATAATTGATTTTAAAAAGATTGGTTCGTGGCATCCCTTGCATAACATAAATACTGTAATCTTTTTCAGGTTACAGTTGGGAAATGGTGCATGAGATGCAGAACATATGTCAAAGCCTGGAACATCTTGTCACCTTCCCAGTCCGGGCGGCCCTTTTGTCCCAGTCTGTCTCTGAGCTCACATGGCTGCTGCAACAGTCGGACAGGTGACTGGCTCTCACGCACACTTCATTTGTTGTTGTTGTAATGTTTATTAAATAGTCACTTGAGATTAGGGCTGCCACAAATGATTATTTTGCGAGTCGGCGTATCATCAACAGTAGTGCAGTTAGCGGTAGCCGACTAATCGAATCATATGCAAAACGCGGCATAGCATTAGACAGCATGAATACTTTTAGGTATATACAAATTAATAATAGACAATTAAGGTGAGAGTACATTCAACTTTGATTAAACTCTAGAGCTTTCCTGACATGATTATAAATGATGGAGCAAGTTAAATTTAAGGCAATACTGTGGCCTTAATTTTTTTTTTTTTTTTTTTTGCTGTAAATGATCAGTGGATTTTAAAATGGACCCAAAAACTATTAAGAAAACTCTACAATAAACTGTGTATTTAAATTGTATCCAAAATGTTTTGTTTTTCTTCATTGTATGCATAATTTAAAAGTAGTAAATTGACCTACACAATCAAAAGGTAGTATGCAACTGATACAAAAAAAAAAGTTATAGATTAGGGGGAAGATAATTTTTTTTCTTTTTTAAGCACTATATATTCGTATATTGTAACGAACTGGGTTATGTTGGCGTCCCAACCAGGACATTGTCTGACAATGTTATATCAAACACACGCCATAACGTGTGTGCTAACTCGGGCTAGCTTCCAGACACGACCTGTCAGAAATGAAATCGGGCATCATTCACAACGTGCTTCTTTTCAGATGATCAAGTACCACTTACTAATGCTCCCGTCATCCATAAGTAGACACGACAATATATTGGCGTACTAAATGGGCATTGCATTACATCAAACACACACGGTAGCATGTGTGTGCTAATGCTAGCTTCTTAACACGACTGTCCCTGTGTCAGAGATGAAATTGGGTATTAGCTGTAACGTGCTTCCTTTTTATAGGCGTTTCCCCTATTTCCACACAGTATGTCATTATGGTTATAATAATGAACAATATAATGTATATACCGGTAATGTCTTCTTATGCAGCACATCCTTGGTTTTGTACAGGATGCCGATGATTTTTTTACCTTTTTCCAAATAAAACCCATTGAGGTTAGGCCATTTGAGAAGCTTAATTCTATCCAGTAGTATCCATTTCAAAACTCTTCTTAACCCTTTCATGCACCCTGTAACCTGATAACATGATAAGCTGTCCACTGCAGAAACCGCTGTCCCTGAACGGGTTAATGTGTGTTTTGGGTCATCTGTTTGGAATACCAATGGTGTCTGAGTTTTAACAGTCGAGGTAATTGTCCTTCTTTTGGGTGCGAATGTCCAAGAACCAACCATCAACGCTTTTGACAGAACAGAGTTGAATGTTCCAACCAACGGTGATCCCAAACACATCTTAAAACTGGTTTTGGAATGCATGAAGCAGCTTCTGGAATGGTATTCCCAAAATGCCGACCTCAATCCTATTTTAAGTATGTCGATAGACTATGCTTAAAAAGCGGGGACAGTGCTCGAAAAACAAGTACTAGAAATGGGTTCGACCGATTCTGCGGAGAAGAATAGTCAAATGTCAATACTATTGAAATTGTGTGTTGTGTTATCATTCCACTGTGGAAAAAATGATTAAATCAGTCATTCCTTAATAATTTGCCAGATTTATGCGGATGACGATGAGTTGAGTCTAATGTCACCTTTGCAATGCAATGGTGCAAACTGGTATTACCTGTTTGGTGTTGAAATAAAGTAGGCACAGACACTTTGCCCACATGTAGCCTTGACAAACATCTAGTTCAGGGGTGCCCATTACGTCGATCCTGATCGACCGGTAGATCTAGGACAGGTCCGAAGTAGATCCGAGCGTTGTCGAGGAGAAAAAAAAACAACCATTTGTGTGTCTTTGTACATGTTAGTAATATAGTTTTTGTGTTAATGCACGCTGCACCCTAATCATCCTATCAGTCTCATTTTCACAAAAACATATTTAAAAACTAAAATAAAATAAAGCAGGTAAATCATTAACCTACGGTGGCGCGTGATTACGTCACCGGAAGTTGTTAGCGCTCAGCAGTCTGTAATTGCAGCTTGTGATCAGACCTGTTGCGCTATATATTTTATCGGCATTATTCTCATTCAGAGTTTGCTTCGTGTACAATTCACCGAGGGCACGGGCAAAGAATAAGAATCTAGAGGGCCCAGAGCAGCACTTTAAAACGGCACGTGTGATCTACGAGAGTTTTAACAGGCTGCAAAAGTGCATCGCATGCCTCCGCGTCAGGCTGTTTCTCATCATGGCATGCGTGTGCGCGTGTGTGTGTGTGTGTGCGCGGTAAGGGGCGATCCCGAGAGGTTGATTGAAAAGTCGATCTAAGGTCCAAAAAGTTTGGGCACCCCTGATCTATTTAGCATGTGGAACAACAAGGCAATGTGTTCTTTGGCCCACAGACTGTGTGGGTGGCTCAAACTGCGCCTCCCATTGTGATTTACGTGAGTAGTGTGGTACAAAGTGGAAAAGGTGAATGTAGATAAGAGGATGTGATGATTCATTCAATCAGTCACGGTGCAGATACGGTTTCGTTTTACCCAGCGAAGCGTCACAGGAATACAGCTCATATGAATGTGTCCTTTATGTACGTGCACTATAATAACTGTCGCTCCATCACTATTAGTCATGCAACTGTGTAGATGGTTCAGACATCAACGCACTTTTGTTCACAAGGATATTCTTTCTCCAAAATTGTTTTCCAAGAGAAATTTTACCAAAACATCACATGGAAGTCAACGGATGAACACCTGCAAGACGTCCTGAGAATCAAAGCAAATATGGTCACGCTGACAATATAACTGCTTCACTCATTTTTCCTTTTGCCAAAATCAGACTTTTGAGGGAGGTGACTATCAATAGATAGCCCAAAAATGCCTACAAACACTTGGACACTTGTATCAGCTAAAAACAAAAATATTTTTGTTGTTTAGGACTTTTTGCGACATTTATATTGGATAATGAATTGTCTTGTTGCTGCAAAAATCGAAAAGAGTTTGTTTATAATTCTTTGAATTTAACATGAACTGTAAAGCTACATTTTCATATTTTCAGGGGGTTTTTGTTCATATTTTGAATTTGTATAATTTTGACATTTTTATGCAAAGTAAACATCTTAAGTCAAGTTTTCTCAATTTATTTGGGAAATAGTGTTTACTCTTTTCAATTAATCTGTTCTTCGATGTCCGTCCATGGGGCAGTGCTGAAAGCACCCAAGACACCTTTTGCGGAAGCGCCAGACGAAAATGGATACCATCAAACGTCATTAGTGATCTCAGGTAACACAGAGCCTATAAAAGCCTGCGGAAGACCGTCTTTCAGAACCTTTTTGCATGAAGGCCACTGGTTTTCGCTTTTCCCTTATGAGTGCTCTGTGATCACTTGGTCGGAGCTGCGTTTTTCTTTCCCACCCTCCTATGGCTGCGATGGCTTTGTTTGTGTTCGCCAAGGTGAACGTCTGTGTGTTACTTGGCTTTACGTGGCTCTACAAGCGTTTTCCTTCTTGTCTGGGGAACACGGGTGTGGGTAATCTTTCCTGGTCCAGGCACGTTGACGTTGCCAAGTTTGGTTGGCGCAGTCAGCTTTTATAAGAACCCTTTAGAAGAGCTCTCTGTAGTGTTCCTGTGGTTCCTGGGAAACTTTTCGGTTCGGCTGCAGTGGGGGGCGGTGGAACGGTTGGTTCAGGCTTGCAAAACCAGGAGACAGTTTTTGAGGCTTCCAAGGATCTTTGTCTCCCCTCGTGTTGCCGGGGGTACCGCTGCTATTCACCGTTCTCAACCTCTGCAGCAGTTTTGCCCTACTGGGTCATTCGGTGGCCAGTGGCCACCACGGAGGCCTGTGGTCGACTTTCACTCCTCTGCCTGCCTACCTTCTAGGCCACAGGTGTCGAAGTCCGGTCCTCGAGGGCCGGTGTCCTGCATGTTTTCCATCCCTCCCTGCTGCAACACACCTGATCCAAATGATCAGTTCATCAGCAAGCTCTATCGGAGCCTGATAGTGATCTTGATCATTTGAATCAGGTGTGTTGCAGCAGGGAGGGATGGAAAACATGCAGGACACCGGCCCTCGAGGACCGGACTTCGACACCTGTGTTCTAGGCTGTCCCAACCTGCAGGTCCTGCCTCTCGTTATAGGGCTTGAGGCGTTGGCTCTAGCTGTCATTTACTTTTCCTGTCAGCAGCTCATTTACTGTGCTCCTCTTACTTGAGATCTCCACTTTGACCCGTGGATACAGGATTCAGTTCAGACGCCAGGCCACTGTGTCCAGCTGGGTCATGGTGACCGTCATCAGAGACCCGGCGAAGGCCTTGGGGCGAGACCAGGAGCTCGCCACCCTGCTGAACAAGGATGCCATCGAAGCTGTGGATGTGTACCCCGGAGGCTTCTACTTCCGTTTCTTCCTCTTGTCAAAGACACCCAGGTTTTGCCCAATCCCGGACCTGAGGGGTCTCCATTATTAGCTCAACGTATTGGCTTTTCACTTGCTGCCTTTGTCCAACATCTTAATCGTCGCCCGAGGAGAGTGGTTCACTTCCATTGACCTGAAGGACGCTGACTTTCAAGTCCCCATCATGCTTTGTCAGGACGTTTCCACTGCTTTTCCTCCAGAGGTCGTCAGTGGCAGTTCCAGGCGGGTGCTTCCTTTCAACCTCTCACTCATGGGTCATGAAGGCTGCTGCCGGTCCCCTGCAATCTAGAGGCATGAAGGTGCTTCTGTACCTGGATGACTGACTGATCTGCGCACTGTCAGGTGGTCCGGGATACCTCTGTTCTGCTTTGACATGTGGCGAGCACAGATTGGCTTGAGTCAGTGGTTTGGGTGACAGGACCGAGCACATCAATGTACTGGAACTATGTGCAGCGCATTTGGCACTGTTCCATTTTTTTGGTGTGCCTGCGGGAACAGCATTTGCTTGTGCAATCCGGATACACTTCGGCAGGTTTCCACATAAACCACCAAGGGGGGACAAGGTCGGCCGGGTTGTTGCGGGCTTCCCAGCACCTTGTCAGGTAGGCTGCCCCACCGCCTGGCCAGCCTGCGGGCTGTGTATCTTCCAGGAGTCATGAACCAGGTAGCAGACTGTCTTCCGGGTGCCACAGGCTTTAAAAAAAAAAATGTATACACCCCGAGTCACCCGGGTTTACTGACTGTTTGTTGATGTTCATCCTCGTCCTCGGCTTGCAAGAAGGTGCATTCCATGCTTTCAGCACTGCCCCCTGGCGGTCATTCAGGACTCAAAGAAACATAGTTACATACATGACTGTCGTTTGGTTCACGGCTTTGAATTTCAGCCCCTGTGTGATTGAGTTTGACACCCTTGCATAGAGAACAGTGAAAATTGTTGTCGAGTACATGTACCCTGATATTAGAAGCGTGTGCGCCCCGGTTTGTGTTTGTGTGAAAGCCAGGCATTTAAATGAAATAAAAAAATATAAATACAAAATAAAAAAAACCCACACACAAAAGGTCAAATTTTTCTTTCTTTAAAATGTAGAAATCCTTTGCTTTCGTACTTTTATCTTTTTGATGAAAGAACACAAGGACATTCATTTTATTTTGTTGTTATTATTATTAATAATACTCAAAATTGTAAACATGATCTCTGAGTAAGGGTAGAATAACTGGGTCCCATCAATTACTTGAGCAACAGTGGGGAAGCCTGCTTCCATCATACTTGAGGAATTACAAGTGACGCTTTAATAGCCCATTGATGTGCTCAAAAATGATTATACACTTTTGTTGTGTGCAGGTATTCTCTAACAGTGTGGACTGGCCAGAACGACAAATTAAAAGTGGAGGACCTGCTGCCTTACAGAACATGTTTTGATGTCAACAGGATCTGCTATGACCTACCAGAAGCCCTAAGGACAGAGCTGACAAAGACTTTACAAAGATGAGACATCAGCAATCATTAGTCAGGCTGAAAATGGGAACCTTCAAACCTCTGGAAGTGTATTGTAATACTTTTTAATTAATTCATTAATTGCTTTTTAATTTTCAAGCGGTGTTGTGATAGTTACCGAGATGGGAGTCCTGCCCTTCCACTGCATGATTGGAGGTTTCTCATCATCTTTGAAGAGTGCTGTTTTGGAGCCTTGGAAGGCAAAACTGGTATCCATCTTCATTTCTGTGTAACTGTTCACAAAGTTTACGAAAAAGGAGAATGGTGGAAATTGGACAAAGTTCTCTACCTTATATTTGGTCCCTTGAATGACCCATGTTTCCTGGAGGTTGTTTGGAAGCTTCTCAACAATTGAATTTATGCCTCTAGCTGAGTCAAGGAAACTGAGGCCAGGCAGGTAACCTTCGTTCTTTGCAGTTTCTACTTCCAGAAGAAGGTCTGCAAGCTCTTGAAGACGTCGACTGTCTTTGGGAGAGATTTTAGGTACAGTAATCCCTCGTTTATCACGGTTAATGGGGACCAAAACTACCCTCGATAAACGAAAGTCCAGAGAAGTAGCGACCAATTAACATATACATAAAAAAAAATAATAATAATAATTGCCCCACGTGGGCCTTTGCTTGAGCAGAGCGCACTAACACACACACACACACACACACACACACAGGCCAGGGATCCCATGGCAGACGTGTTTATGATTAGTCAATTAAGGATGGAAGAGACCTGCTTTTTTTTCTTATAAGCCTTCTCTCTCTCTCTCTCTCTCTCTCTCTCTCTCTCTCTCTCTCTCTCTCTCTCTCTCTCTCTCTCTCAGCCACATACACAAACACACACACACCCACGCACACACTAGCAGCATCGTAAACAACACTTAAGACACGATTAAAGATCAAAGAGTAACCCACTGTAAGACAGAAAGAAGATGCACAGCCAATCAACATGGCTTTACATCTTCTCACCCCCCCAACCCCACATGTACTGTGTATGTTGCTCTATGTGACTCACTGTGTTTTTGATGACTTTCACTGCTTCTCGTGGACTTTTTGCAGACTTCAAAAAAAAACTTTTTTTTTTTAATGAATATGTTTGAAAAAATCCGCGATGCACCGAAGCCGCGATAAACGAACCGCGAACTAGCGAGGGATCACTGTACATTGTTGAATCGTTTGAATAGTGAAGCTTTGCTAACCTCTGGAAACATGAGCGCATGGTTAGGGCAGAAGAGTAAAAAGATGGTGCCTCAACTTGTCGAAAGAGGATGGAAGTGGATGCGATCACACCTCTCCACTGTTATGAATCAAAATGGCTACCTCACTGACTTTTTGGTGGTTTTAACTACTTCCGCCAGTAGGGCCACTTTACTGTACTGTACTGTAATGCAATTTTGGGTGGTTTTAACTACTTCCACCAAGAGGGGCACTGCACTGCATTGTAATACAATCACTGGGGACAGAATAGTGATAGTTACCTTGAAAGAAAAACCCAGGTCCTTTCTTGATTACTTGATTTAAAAAGTCACATAGTTACTTTACTGATGACTTGCTTGAAAAAGTAACTTAGATTACAATACTTTGATCGTTGTAGTCAGCAGATATCGACTACCCTGCGTAACAAAAAGTGATGCTGTTTTCCCACTTAATTGGAGGTGCGTTTTTAACTGTGACTGTAAGTTTGTTTTTATTAAAAATGATATGAAGACAACCTTTTTGACTGACCAGAATTATTTTAATTAAAAGGAATAATACGTCTTTTCAGGACTTAACATAATCAATACTGTAATAATAATTCCAGACTTCACATAACAAAAATAATATTTTCAATATTTCTAATTTATTTTTTAGTTAACATGTGTAACTGTTAATGGAATGTCAAAACCCAACATTTATAATGTACATTGTTTATAAATATAACTATTAAATTAGGGGCCCTTCTGCAGTCATCCAATCTGGTGTGACTTTGAAGGCATATTGCCCTGAGATCCTTTTTTTCTTTCATTTAATGCTTTTTGAAGTGACATAGGTAAGACTGTTGGCAACAAACCTTAACATTTTTTGTTTTTAGCTGACACAAATTCAAAATAGATTGAAAATTTGAAAAATTCAAACACTGCAGTTCCATCTTGAAAATGCGACTCTCCTTCCTTCTTGCTGTTTATGTACATGCGAGTCCCACGCTCTCAATTAGAGATGGGTGGATCAATACAAAATATTGACTATTTCGATCCAGAGTGCCCAATAGCAAGTATCAATATTTACAATTTTTTTTTTCTTGATCAAGCGGCAACGGTGGTCGACTGGTAATAGCATGTCTTTAGTTTGCATGTTTTTCCTGTGCCTGTGTGGGTTTTCTGTGGGTACTCCAGTTTACCCCCAAATTCCAAAAACATGCATGGCAGGTTAATGGAACACTCTAAATTGTCCCTCGGTATAAATGTGAGCGCGAATGGTTGTTCGTCTATGTTTGCCCTGCGATTGGCTAGCAACAAATTCAGGGTGTCCCTCCCCTACTGCCCGAAGAATGGAACAAAGTGATGTGGTAAAGCTACTGATTTGTTTGCAATATTCTTGTAATCGGCACTTATGTTTGTGTTCGGGCTCGGTGATATGACTAAAAAGTACATCACGATATCCAGGTTCTGCGCAGATTATAGAAAGGTTAATGCTGTGACTGAACCTGAGTGATTCATTTCCACTGACCAGGATGGAGGATTGTATGGATGCAGTGGGATCTGCTCTTCTGTTGAAGGGATACTGGAAGGTTCCACTGATTTCTTGTGATTCAGATTCAGCAAACTTTATTCATCCCCATGGGGTAATTTGGACTTAAGAGGCACGCTCTGCACAAGAAACATGAAAAACAAAGACGAACATGGGATACAGTGCAAAGGGCCTGTCGGTACTCGCCGTATGTACAGCGCCCCGAGATCTTAGTTGAGAAAAGTAAACACTAGGGAAGGAGGGGGAAAAAAAACATGCTCGAACTGTCCTCTTCTGAGGATAATTTAAGTCTAGGAGAAAAAAAGATTTCCCTGCACATCAAGCATATGACAGTTGCAACAAGTCACAAGACATAACATGTTGCAACAACATTGCAATAACATGTTGCAACAAGAAGTCACAAGACATAACATGTCTTGTGACTTGTTGCAACTGTGACTTGATGAGGGGGTGCGGATGGAGGGGGTGGGGGGGAGCGCGACGCAGCCCGACCGGCGTGCTGCCAGTCCATCCAGCGCACAGCAGATCAAGTCACATCACGGGGAAAAGCCAGGAGGAACGATGAAGGCGTTGATGATAAGGGCAGGCCGCAGCTGCTTCAAGGTCTGCTGATGGAGACAGTCCCAGCTTATCAGTCCAAGGCCGAGAGGGAGGGGGGGATGGGGG